TATATATATATATATATGTAATGTGTGAATTATATGTTTAAATAATACTTTTTCAATGTAACAATTTAGATAATAATTTAATAATATTCGATTTTTTCATATTTGACCTTAACACAAATTATGTTTGTAGGGAACCAATGATTCCTCCTTGACTTTTGAATCCGCTAATGAATGATCCAGCAGACTACATCAATAAGCGCTCAACTCAACTATCGAGTCTGAATGCATTGAAACGTCAAGTACCATTCTCGACGCGGGACGTCGACACACTGTCGGTGCAAGTGATTCTGTGCTCGAGATCAATGGGCTCGCCTTGGATTTTGATCCTGGGACGCTTCTGCTGCAAGAAACAGTCCTCCGACACTTGTCGCGACAGTTCGCCATGATTACTCTCGTCCTCGGTATCGCTATTGACCTCAATCTTAATCTCCTGTTCCGGTTCTAAACAAATACTTCTATAATTTTGCGCAAAACAATTTTTCAAAATTAGCAACTCCCGGAAGCTCGGGGGGAAAAAAAAAAGAAAAAAGAAATTGCGAGATGGGGTCAATATATTTCAACCTGGCGTTTCCGTGGGTAATGTCAATTTATCCAGGATTGCCTGTATCGCCATCCGATTCAGTGGATTCTCATTGTCCTGACTATCGTCCGAACGATCGGTGTTCTCGGAATCGTTCTTGCGCACGCTTTCCATCAGCCGCCACACTTCGATCGAGAGATTCGGCGGACGAGATTTGGCGGCCACGTCCGGTCCCAGGGTTCGTACCTGCGCGTGATCAAAGACGGGGAAGAAATAAGAAGAAGAAAAGAGAGTTTAGAATAGTGACCAACTGTTCCAAATTAGGGAGGCCAGTCCCGAATTTTAACTCTTTGTCTCACTTTAAAACATTCCAAATTTTGTCCCAAATTAACGATTATAAATTATCCCTCTTTTAAATGTGAAAATAATAAGCGTAAAATATAATTTTCATTGACGTATTAAAAAATTTTGATTTTTTAATTCACAAAAACTCAAGGTATGTCATTTATAAAATACATTCAGGAGGAAAGTATAATTTAACAAAATAAAATGTAATTTCATGAATAATGTAATTTTTGTTGTAATCTCATGTAATATTACATATTAAGTGTTATTAATTGCTTACAAACATGATTGTTGTTCATATGCTTCATTAACAATTATAAACAAAAAAATGTTTATCCATTAGAATTTAATTACAATTAATTACAATATTGAATTTTTTTTTTAATGTCTCTCTTTCCTTTAAGATCACCTTAATTTAAAGGGAAGGGGAAGTGCTGCCTGTCGAATAATATTTTATGCAATCTAAATCGTAGTCACACCTTTTCGGCGTACGAGAACATCTCCATCCTCGCCTGCGCCTTCATCCTCCGCCACTGTTCCTTGATCCTGGTGATGTCCCGATCTGCCGAGAATTGGCCGCGGAACGCGCAGTAAATCTTTTGCCAGGCGACAGATTTCTTCGCGGACGCGGCCGCGTCGATTTTCTTGTTCTCGATCGCGCTCACATGGTGCTTGATCAGGGAGAACAGGGCGCTCTTCTCCTCGGGGATCCAATTCTGCGTCCTCTCCCTTTTCTTCAGCAGCACGGTGGTCGTTTCGCTCGTCGCCGACATTCTCTTACCTTTTTCGCGCGTTAATCAGCGTTAATTTAGCTAATCTATGGAACTAGTCCAACCCACGTGTATACAAAACATCTGTTGTCGCGCATTGATCCGTCACTGTTTCGCGGCCCCCCGTTTGCTTGTTTAAGCGCGGTTTTAGAACCGTCAGCTGTTTAGTTGCTACCGGAGCGGCGCGTCTACCGAGTGTCACGAAAGTCACCGCGATTACATCTAGTCGGAGTTACTGTCAACTATTCGTAATTATCCCTCTCCGCTTGAGTTTATCCGTGAGACAATAGCTCTCGTCGTTTTAATTCCGCGTGCGAAGAGCGTGTTTTTACACGAACAGATTGTCCCGGTGCTTATAACATTCTCGTTTTATAATTTTATAATCGGACAGAATTTATGAAAACGCTTTCGCGTTTTACACGCGAAATATTTCGGTATCGGATTAGATTCGCGGCATGAGGCACGTAAAACGCGAATGTCGAGGCGACGCAATGCGAGTAACGTCGGATTAACTCAGCGGAACGAACGCCCGAGAGAGCGAGCGAGCGCAGCCGACTTAAACCCGACTAAGGGACGACTAAACGTCGGCCATCTTGGCACGGTACTAGCTAGAACGCGTTCGATACTAACAAATCCTCCGTTCGTGAGGTGGGGATGAGAGAGGAAGCCCTCCAACTGAATGAGATGAGGAGGACGGGAAGGAGAGTGAGAGAAAAAGAGGGAAAGAGGAAGAGAGAGAGAGAAAGAGAGAGATATCTCCGACGTTCCGCGCAACGCAAACATTGTTTCGTTTCGTTTCGTTTCGTGACGCTGTCGTGGAATCATATTGCGCCGATTCCAATATTTCCATCGTTATCCTGTAAACGCGATAATTCCCCACCCTTTATCGTCCCCTTTCCCCTCCAATTCTCTGCCCTATGCTTCGATAATTGGTCGTAGAGAGATTATATTATCTCCAGCTCCCAAATTCCATTTGTATTACCAAACCGAATTCTCAGCGAGATAATGCTTAAATACACTGGGAGAAAAACGTCCTAAATTTTAATAAATAAATAAATTTTATATATAAATAAATATAACATTTATATTTACGGTGAACAAATATTTGCTAAATAAAGATAATAATAGTTAAAGCAAATTAATGGTTCTGGTACCAAATAAATATATGTTTACATTCAACTGATATTATTCCAATAAATATTTGTTTAAATTTAGCACACATTTTTCTCTCAGTGTGCAATATATAAAATTTAAATAAAATAAGATATCATAAATAAATAAATTAATGTGTAGGCAGACAAATATAAAATAATTGAAATAAGAGTAAATAAAATTTGTCTATGCTTGAACTCGTGTATCTACACGACTTTCGATGTTCTCCTTTTGTTATCAGTGACGAAATTTGTCTATTCACTATTTCACGTTTTAACAGAACGGTTCATATGATCGAAGAACGTAGCAGTTCGTCATTTCTGCTTTCTCGTAAATCTATCAAGAAAACTAATAGAAATGCACAACCATAATCGCTGTTTACAGTATTCTTTATTCCAGTTTTACGTTGTCGGTTTGCGTAACGCAGTTTAAACTAGTTTTGCGTGTAGATTAACTTGACTTAACGTTTCTGCGAGAAGAAGTTTTAATTTTCCTTGAGAAAAACAAGAAACTGACGATAATTCACAAATTTACGATGCGGCATACTTGTATCATAAGGATTTATTAGATAGTAGAACAAGGTCGATACCGTTATCACTTTGTGTTTGCACTATATTTCTTAAATAAATGCTAAAAATAAAACTTTGACACAATTAGAGAGTATCTTTTAACACAGATGATATAGAAGTTTTTATAATACTGTTTCGAAATCTTGCGGTAATTAACTTCTTCGTAAATAAGCAAAATTAAGCGTCTGATAGAATAAGCTACAAAACTGACCTACAAAATAGTGATGAACTGACTACACAAATATAATAGTATCATATAAAATTTTATATACTATACATATATATATATATATATATATATAAAATTTGTCATTATCATAAAAATTATAAATATATAAAGTATGTCTGGAAAAGGCAAATACTTTTCAACATGTCAATAAACTTAAAAATGGTTAGAATAAAGGAAATGTGGCTATATTTTTCTAATGAAATTCCTTTATTCTAACAATTTCTATTTGTATTTGCTTTTTCCAGATATATATACTTTGTATATTGATAATTTTTATGATAATGATAAATGATAAATGACAGGAATTGAATAACAACAGGAAACTATATTGTGTCTCGCTGACTAATAAACGATCGACCTTGACGTTCTTCTTCTCTTTGTGCCGAGATACGCGGTGATGTCCATCAGAATCGTTAGAAGCAACAGTCCAATCATGTCCCACCAGAAATTTCCTCCATTATATCCGTATTCCGATAAAACTTCTGTTCCGTTTGATAAACAAGGTAGATTACGATTGGTTGGACGATCTGAAAAGAGAAATTAGGATGTTATATTGACAACGGGAAAACTATTCTGATTAAACCGATAAAAGACTCAACAGAAATGGTATTTGGATGAGACTAGACAGAATTTAATAATAATAATTTGATTTATCGTGCGAAAAGATTAACAATTTAATTTACATGTACATATTTTCCGATTATCGTAAAATCCTATTTGGTCTTATCAAAATCCCATTTTTGTTAGATTCCTTTGTTGCTTTAGTCAGAACAATTTTTTTCAATGCAATAAGACTGAGCAATTTGGAGATTTTCTCTCTCACCAATATCCTCTATCCCCGTCTAGTGTACTATCGATATGGTTTCGGTGGCGTAATAAAATATGGAAGAATATTTGAAATACGCCGAGTAGCTTGGAAGAGCGCTGCGAGAGTCAAGTTTTAATGTGCGCGATGGAATTCTATTTGTCATAATATTGACAACGGTTGTACTTACCGCAAATTGTAAAATGTACCCGCCGTTGAAAGGAACAACAAGTCAGGCAGTAACATTATCGAGGTGATGATATCGATGTCTGCGATCCAGCTAGAGATTGCCATACTATACGCATTACCGCAGATAGCCGCTGCCGTCGTGCAGAGACAATAGAAGGAAAAGCTGAGCAGCGAAAATTCGGAATAATGTTACGCAGCGCGAAGTACAGGGCACAACCGTGAATAAAAGCGCCTTGAATATCGTCTTGGGTATCTGAAGAATTCCCATCGAAAAATCGTAATAATGTTACGGACGTGCTGCTTTTCCAGCGTATAATAATTACAGCTGAATAATTACCAAGGCGAGAACGGTGGCGAGGTAATAAGATCCCGGCGCGTACGCGGTGCTTTCGCGCACGTAGAGAACAAGCTCGCCAGGTAGTTTGTAAACGACGGAGTAAGCCATTGTAAAAATTACTTCAGAGATCGTGTCAAGTACAATACGCCTCGAGCACTCTGTGCTTCCCTTCTTGCGTCAATTAGTACCAGCGTAGAAAATATTTACGAAAACGATGGAAAGCTGTGAAAGATCACACAGTTCTTTTTACATTATAATATTTGCTTTGTGTGTAATTGAAAAAAATTTCTCATTCCAATTGTTCTGACCAAACTCCAATTAATTCATCAAGTATTAAATATTGTTAACGTAGACGGAATTATTAATTAACGTCGATCGTACGAGAAAGAAACATTAGATTAGAAATTAATTAAACGAATTATATAGTTAGAAATTTTACCGCGAGCAATTCTACCGGTTGAGTTAATCGCCGATTAAATTATTCGGAGTTTGGTCGAAGTCACTTCAAGTTCTCTTTCTAGCTTGCTACCACGCAAGAGAACCACGCGATCCAATTGTCAAAGGCCATTCTTCTATTCTGCAGGAATATTCTCCAGAGCAACCAATAAAACTGTACGAACCATCCTGATTTTCTACAATATAGATTATTAAATTTTGTGAATGTTATTTGCTAAAATTTATTTGAGAAATTTTGCTGCTATTTTGTTTCAATACTTTCGACTAGCGTGGAAAACCGAGACGTTTTCGATCGGGGGAATCTTTGACAGTGGTGATCGTGAAAACGCTCGGCATGACAGAATATTTACGTAATATTCGGACTCGTCGTAGTTTGTAGGGCACCGATAATCCTGGCTATGCATAAAATATATCGCTTTTGTCGTTTGACGAATCTTAGTACGAATGTCAGAATATCTGAGGAGTTTTACTTCTCAGAAAAATCCGTGGCGTTCCTCAGAGTCCCGAAGTATACGGATCTACCATCGGCCATCAATATCACATGGCTGAATATATTGTATAGCGTCATACCTGGTTGATGAATTGTGCAGAAGACCATAGTGCCTCTCGAGGCGATTAATTTCAATGACTGCACAAACGTGCATTGCGGCAAAAGTGTCTAGACCTACTCTCGAAAATTAATATAAATTTATTAATATAAAAATTAATTAATTATAATATTTATTAAT